TGGAGCAACATAAAGAAAGCTCAAGTCCCACTATGGATGCTGTTGTTTGATCAAATTGACTATTTGCTCCCCAGCAGACTGAAAGTCCTTGGTGTGAATGTCGATGAGCTCCGTGGAAGCCTTGAACTCCTCAATAATCTCCTCACGCTTGGCGACGAGCATCTCCGAGGCCTCAGCTTCTGTCTTTTTCCTCCCCTCAGGCTTCCCCTTGGCAAAGCATCTCTTTACGGCTTCGGCAACCTCAGCCGCGTTCTTCTTAGCTGCTTCAGCCGCCCTCTTCTTGGTTGTCTTCGCCCGCCAAGTAAGTTCTTCGACCACAGCCTTTAAACTGGCCAGCTCGTTCTGAAGATTGGACAGCTTGGCCAGTTCTCTTTCCAAACTCGCCAGTTTAGCCGCGGCCACATCCCTCTCCTCGACAGCAGACGAGCATTTAGTTTTGGCCTCGTCAAAAAGAGATGTAAGTTTGGCTTCCAGGCTATCCATTTTTTTGCCACGTTCCTCGACCTTGACCAGATCGATGAGGTTGAGGATGGCAAGAACTAGGCCCTGAGAGAAATTGAAAGCCAGAAAATGATGTCATAAAATATGAGTAAAAAAAATGAACCTATACGGTCGAGGCTTACATGAATTTAGAAGGATATCTGCTTGCATTGACGGTCCACCAGAGAAGAATGAGAGGCAGAGATCCAGTGCTTGTCGAAGAATGACTCATACAAAGCCTGGAAGACGAGGGAAAAGCGGGGAGGAAGATTCAGCATCGCCCCAATCTCGACCTCAGAGATGTCCGGGACTTGGAAATTAGAGTCCATGACCTTGGCCCCTAACATAAAAATGCGATCTCTCGGCGCCGAAGGTACCTCAGCAACATTGGGGATTGGGACCACTGGTGTCCAGCTCTCGGTCACTGGCACCTCCTCCCTGCGCACCCTTTTATGCACAAGAGCCTCTGACCCTGATCCCGAAGAGCCCCTTGTAGATTTTCTCTTCTTCGGCGCCGAGGAAGAGGTACCCGCCTTCTCTTTTCCTTTGGATTTAGGCTGCAGGCTGCGCTGAGGCCTCTGGCTGCCAGGGAGCTGAATCCTTAGCGAAGCCATCTCTGCACAATGGCAAGATCAGAATAAAGTCGACGTACAAATTATTTAGGCAAGAATGAACGGAGGCGTCGAGCCTAGGAATTTACCTTCGTCGTTCAAATAGAAGTACTCTCTAATGGCGAAGGGGTCAGAGGGGTCTGGGAGGTCGAGAATTAGCCCTGCCTCCTTGAGATTCATCTCGGTCAAAAGAACGTCGATATGACGCTTGCTCTCCGAATACCCAAAAGCCGTCTTAACCCTCGTCAACCTGTTCTCGGTGAGCTTCGGCCGATCATGACTAACTGCATATCAAAAAAGTGGTCAGCATTGTTTAAAAAAAAAAGAGCGCAAGAAAGACCAAATCCTCACTCATGTTCCCAAACGACGTCTTCACCTTCTGACGTCGAGGCCTGTGGTCTTCAAGGTGGAAGTTGAAGGGCCCCCGTACCATAAAAAACATGGGTTTCCACCCATGAGATGACGAGGGAATGCCTTGTATTAACTTCCTAAGTTTGGGTTGTGATCGCCCATGACCACTCAAAAAATACCACCCCGCACACTTGGCGACATGGCATAGTTTATACATAAACATAAACTCGTCCAGCGGTAGATCTAAATCAAACTGCTGGCTCCACAAAACCCAGGCGTCAGAAAAATAATACCAAAAATTCAGTGCAAACTGGGCAAGCGAGATGCCATGGAAGTGGCAAAAATCTTTGACGAAGGGATGAATGGGTAAGGTCATCCCTACCGTGACAACCATAGTATATACAGGGAGATATTCGGTAGGAGGAAGGTTGGTCCTGAAGTTTACATCCGGAAAGAGATAGTCAAACCATCTCCTGTCGATGCGACTTTCCCTAACTGCCCGGATGATGTCCTTATTCTGAATCCTTGACGCCACAACATCGGCCGTAAAAAATGGCCTGTATGGGTCTCCACTCATGGCAGCCAGGGGGGGCCTCCACCAGTGAAGTGGTGAATCCACATACGCCACCTCCTGTGAGGGGAATCTCACCACCTTCTCCCTTAACAATAAGGTCGACGCTGTCAACCTCTTCATTGGGCTCGGCCGCATGGCCCTCAACCTCTCTCGTTATGGAGTCGTCCTCTGACGAGGAAGATGACCATGAAATCTCTGCCACAAAAGAGGAGTCGGGTCGTACAGCGGACGTCTCCTCTCGACGGGTGGGTTTTGGGGCCATTTGTTCTGATAAAAAAAAGATAGACAAAAGAGCTAAGTCAGAATCCTAAGTCGAGGGATAAATAACGTCCGCTCAAGGCGACGACTGTTCAGAACTATAAAGAACCAATGACACCTAGTTCTCAACAAGACGTCGACCATTCATAGGAAAACAGAAGCGATGAGTGTTCATACAACCAGGACTCGTCAAAACCCAGAACCCAGAAACCACAACTGAACCAGAAATCAGAAAAGCTACCATAGGTAGTTCAGGGAAAGCATATGGTAAGTCTCTATCCTCTATTTTCAAACCTAGAACATCTAGTCTGAATGGAAAAATAAGTTCAGACATCAAGCAAAGCAGAATCGTAAAGCAACTTACCAGTAATGAAGAAGAGTTGAAGTCTAGGTGAAATCGGGTATTATGGACCACGATAGCTTCACGAAGCACCAGGAAGGGCAAGGAAAGCATGTTTCTGAATTTGGGAAAATTTGGGCAGAGTAACGGCAGTTCAAAACTTGGAGTGAAATAAAGTGGCTTCGGTTCGAGGAACATTTAGAGAAAAATGAGCCCTCGACCCCTGACCGTTGGATGAAGTTCTGATAAATCCAGTGGCGGGGGCATTCAGTCAGGATCGAATGACGGCAAACAAAGGCGGGAAGATGAAGGGGCACGATCCAAAGGCTCAGATTCATCTTTTCAAAATAAAACCCTACGTCAGTTTGGTGAAGTGACCGACGTGACGGTTACGCTTCTCGAAGGAGTTCAAAGCGTCAGGGCATCATTACAAGATAGGCTCGAAATTAGGTTCCCACGCCCGAAGCACAGAAAAGTACACGAACCTAGCTCGAGGCTGTTTGAAAGAAAGCCTTGACCTGGGGGGCAGCTGTTGTGTGGGAAAATCCAGGTGACACGTGGGATAGCGACAACGTTACCCGTGGCCCTGCTTCTCCTCACAAAGCGACAACCCTCAACACCTGAAACTCACTTCCCCTTTATGTTGCAAAGAAAGCCCGCCTTAGGGTGTCGACCCGTTATGCCGTCGACCCTATGACTTGTGCAAATTCCCTACGCCACGGAAGGATCGGCGGCCAGAAGAGGCCACCGCCCACTCAGCGTAAACGTCGAGGGAAGAGCATGAGAGGTGACGCCCGTATCTCTAGAAAGGTGTCTGACACAACCAACTTGCGTCTGGCACTGGGAGATGTCTGCAGTGCATGCATTAATTACAAGCCCCTAAACCGCCCAACAGTGAACGGTGGAGGGTTACAAGGAGTCTACAGAGTTGTAATGGAAGACTAAGTGGATGAGTGTACAGTTTAAAATGTGATTAGTGGGCTACGGTATGAGCCTATGAGGGTAGGCCACTCGAGTGCTTCTGCCTACGAGAGGAACCGCCCACGAAGGAACCCTTGGCTATAAAAGGGGCAAAGCCCCAAACGAGTAAAAAAATAGGATTTTCCTTTGAGTTTGGCTCATTTCATATTCAACTCGAGAGTAGAAAGGGAGAGTAATTGTAAAGAATCCAAAAGAAATACAAAGAAAAGTGAATGTAGCTCTTCATTAATAGAGTGAACCACTATAAACATTGTGCCTTTATTTTCATACAAGCACAGCCTTCCCATTATATTTACCACAAACTTCATACACGCTTTACTACATCATTTTCAATATCAAATAAACGCTTTTTAGCCCGTAACCTGACAGGATACCTAAAGGTGACTCGGCGTAATCCTGTTGACGAAATTTTTACTTAAAGGTGACCCGGCGTAATCCTGTTGACGAAATTTCACCGTCAACAGTACCAAAATGACAATTTTCCCAATTTTATTTTATTTTATTTTATTTTAACAAAAGCATGTAAACTACACCAACTTGAAAGCCTAATATAGAGAAGCATAACAAAGACCAAAACAGTGACGGACAACATCTTTAAAACAAAATTTTCATTAAAAAAAAATTTTAAGCAAATAATATATTAGCAAAATTACAGCAGGAAATGAATGATGAATAATAATTATAATAATAATAATAATTATAATTATAATAATAATAATAATTATTATTATTATTATAATAATTATTATAATAATGATAATAACAAGACAAGAAGTCAACAACAAACAGATAATAATGAATTTTTTTCTTTTTTTTTCTTTTGCTTAGGACTGAAAATTGATTATGAATCGGGGAAATAAGACAAATCAGAAGATTAAAGTCTCGTTTATTTTAACGATTTGAGTTTAAAATTTAAATTTAATTATAATAAAAAGCTTTCAAACACAATCACATCTAATTTTTTCGTTACAGTAAATAACTCTCACATAAAATCTCATTTTAACTCGAACTAGTGAACTAAACGGGCCTAAAATAGTGAAGGAATACATTTTTAAAACAATATTTCCATTAAAAAAAAAAACCTTACCCAAATATAAGCAAAATGGCAGAAGCAAATGGAAAAAAAAAAAAAAAAAAAAAAAAACAAAAAAGCAAAAAAAAAGCAGAAAAAAAAAAAAAAAACTAAAAAGTCAACAACAAGCAGATTTTGAAAATAAAAAAATAACGGATTTCATTTTCTTTTATCTTATCGTATGAAGACTAGATTATCAAGTCTAGAAAATAACTCGACTCTAAATCGGAAATGAACTCCAAGTTCAAATATAAATAGCAAAAAAAAAAAAAACAAAACAAAACAAAAACAAAAACAATTCCACCACAAAAACAGAGATATCACATGGAAACCATGAATTACGAGCAGTGCAAGAGTGAGTTGGGAGAGAAGGCGATGATGATGAATGAAGGTGTGAAATCTCTCTGCCATGGAGTTTTGGAGGATATGATCAACTTTCGCTGTGGGTGGCACCCCATGGACTTCAGGACCGTCAAATCGAAGCTCGACAACGATTCGTACTCTACGGTCGACCGGTTCGCCGATGATTTGAGGCTCACGTTCTCAAAGGCCATTAGAAACAACCCTCCTTCCCACCTTAATCATCGAATAGCCAAGGAGATGAGGCAAGTATTCGACTACGAGATGAAGCTTTTACGACGAACCTACTCCGTTATCGACTGGTCTACAAAGAAGAGGAAGAGGGAACAAGACTCTGGAGCTTTGATGGACGATGATAAGGATCAGAAGGAAAAAGATTCCTGTTGCGCAAAGAAAGTGATGTCGTCTTCGGGTATTGTTATAACCGGTATCGACAAAAAGGGGTTGGGGAGAAGAGCAAGTGAAGACGTTGGAGCAGAACGTGAAAGCACCAATAGATCAGTTTTGAGGAGCACCAAGAAGTTCGAAGCTGGCGATGATGATGATGATAAAAAGGTTAATAATGACATGAAGGCTGATGGTGATCAGGTCCAACCGATCTCAGTGGAGAAAGCTCTCCGAATAGAAGCCCAAAAACGTCGCTTCGCAGAAACCATATTGAGAGCGGAGCAGAAGATGGTGGAGTGCAAAAAGGATCCGGATTGCTGTCGCCGTTATTACTCGTCGGCCGAAACTCAGAAAGGTTGCTTTGCAGAACTCATATTGAGAGCCAAGCAGAAGATGGTGGAATGCAAAAAAGATCGGCGTCCTTATGAGAAGGAACGAGAAAGAGCTCGGATGGCTCTTCTACAGATGGAAAAGAGTGTTGAAATTGATCAAAACCAAGAAACCGAAAGAGAGCTTGAGAGACTATGCGGTGGGCCATTTGATAGTTTTGGCTCGTTTCTTAATCCTGATTCTTATGTCTTTGAAGAGGATGAAGATGACTTGCATTGGATCACTGAAGATTTGGAGGAAGGAGAAATCTTGCAATGTTGAAGAATTCGGTATATTTCTTTCTTTCACTTAACTTTGTTTATATTAATAGTAGTTGCATATATAAGAATTGATCGTTTCGTCGTATTAAGGATATGTTTTTGCATCTGTCTTGTCATTCCACCAGAAACATGAAATTTCACGTTTTTTTTTTTTGCAGATTGAAGCCGTCAACTCCTTAGCCGGAATGAGATTGGAGAAAACCCCTCATACATGCTGTCTCTTTCAGGCAATCAAGATAATTATATATACATGCTGTTAGTTTTGTCTATTAGAAATGGTGAATATCGAAGGAAAAGTTTCAGCTTGACCTTATGTCCTCACTATTCAGCTTGTATTTCCTGTTGAGAAAATTAGTCACGTTTTTATGTTTGTAGAGAACACTTGAGTTTTTATGTTTTTTGCTTATGAGCTGGGGCTATCAGCTTGACTTCAAACTCCATATTGTGATTCGTTGAATGAAGTTGAAAAGGTAGATAGATGATGGTTTACTTATCAAGATTGAGAATTGAGAGTAGAGAATGAGAATCAATCACATGGTCACTTGCCTTTTTTTATCTCAGAATGGGAATTGAATTGGTAGGTCTCACTCAAATTTAAGATTGAGGAATGAGATTAATAACCACGTGTGCCTCTCTAGATTGAGACTCATATTCATGATATTAACATTAAGTTATTATCTTACCCTTAATTTACTTATAAAAATTTAAAATTTAAAAAATAATAATTACAAACTATATTTATTATTTTATTTGCCTAATATTATAATATTTGCCAAATTAATTTTTTTACTATAATAAATATGTGATGTATTATGTTTAAAAAATTAATAATATATTTTTATTTTTAACACATTTTATTTTTTATTTAAAATTTGTCAATTTATTTTCATACTTTAAATAATTAAGCAACTTATATTTATTATTTCATTATCCTATTATATTATAATACAAATTTTAACATAACAGCATCACAATTTATTTTAAATTGAAAATACAAAATTTATTTAAAGGGTATATTAATACTTTACATCTTGGAGTAACTCCGATTTCAAATCTTATCACTAAGTAAATAATTTATTTTAACTCAGATTTCTCACTCTAAATCCTATCTACTCCGATTACGAGTAGGTAAACATATCATTATGTCACCATCAGGTATTGATATCAAGGGTGGAAGAAAAAAAATGAATACGTTGGAGCAGAATGTGGAAGCCTCAAGAGATCGGATTTCAAGACGAACATACATTGTAAAGTTGGCCTTGACGATGATAATGATAAGAAGGTTAATAACATGAAGGCTGATGATGATCAGGTTCAACTGATCTCGGCGGAGAAAGATCTCCCATTGAAGACCTTGGGCTTGTTTCTTTAGCCTTATTATTATGCCTTTGCAGAGGACGAAGATGACACGCATTTGATCAATGAAGACTTAGAGGAAGGAGAGATCTTGCAGTATTGAAGAATTTCATTATACTCCTTGAGCCCTCTTTTATTGTTACCCCTTAACATTAGTCTATATATTTCAATGTTTTAGACTTAAACTAATCCAGGGGTAGAATTTTTTATTTTTATTTTTAAGAAGTACTTTTAATAAGTCAGATACTTAAGGAGGTAAAATTTATAATTTTCTCTTCTACATTCTTATATTAATTGTACTTTATTATTTACATTATTTACCAATATTAATTGCCCTTGATTTATTTCCTTGAGATAAAAAGAGTAGGACCCAAGTAATCTGTTAATATCTATTCTGTATAATATCTTTAGATTAGTGACTGATATCAGTTGTTTTTGTTTGATTACCAAATATTTTTTTTATTACTAGTTCAAATCACGTGTGAAGCACGTGAGAACTTCTATCCTTGTTTTAGTTATTTTAAAGTGTTAAGCTTTAATTCTAATTTCTTAATATTTATTTTAATAATAATCTGTTTTTTTATTAAAAAAGAAAATTTGAAAGTTACAATTTTGTAATTAAATTTATTTCTTTCCTTTCTGTAGTAGAAGAATCTTGAATGTTTTTGCTTCCATCGAAAATGAAATTATGTCTATAGTTTAGTGTGTTTAAGTTAATAAAAGTACTTGGGCTAAAAAATTCTCAGCTAGAATATGTTACAGAGACATTATTGGGTTAAAAAAAATGCACATTACGTATTTGAAACTTGACAAGGATTATAAATTTTAGGACAAACTCTACAATGCATTAGTAATCATTAATTTATGCTGAAACAAAAGACGGGTGAAATTTGTTTGAGGGAAAGCAAGGGAAATAAATTAGAATTTTAGAGAGAGATAAATCTAATCCCGTCTTATGTTGTTATTGTGAATTTTCATGATTGTTATGCACTTTAATAGTCCTTGGCTTTGGGACCATATTATTGGTTTCGAATACAGTATTTTGATAATACAAAAAAAATAATAAATAAAATTATTAAGATACTAAAAAAAAAAAAACAGAGAGAGAATCTTGTAAACGACACCAATTATTTAAAAGTATAAAACAAAAACCACACCAAATTAAAAAATTAAACTCTCATTCATTTTACCGATTTGAGTTTTACTATAATAAAAAACTTTTAGACACAATCACATCTAACTTTTTTATTACAGTAAAAAACTCTCACATAAAATCACAATTTAACTTGAATTAAAAATTCGAATCAGTGAACTAAACGTGTCCTAAAATAGTGAACATTTTTAAAACAATATTTCCATAAAAAAAAAACCTTTACCCAAATAAAAGCAAAATGGCAGAAGCAAATGAAAAAAAAAAAAAAAAAAAAGTCAACAAGCAGATTTTGAAAAAAAAAAAAAAAAATTAACGGATTTCGTTTTTCTTTTATCTTATCGTATGAAGACTAGATTATCAAGTCTAGAAAGTAACTCAACTCTAAATCGGAAATGAACTCCAAGTTCAAATATAAATAGCAAAAAAAAAAAAAAACAAAAACAATTCCACCACAAAAACAGAGATATCACATGGAAACCATGAATTACGAGCAGTGCAAGAGTGAGTTGGGAGAGAAGGCGATGATGATGAATGAAGGTGTGAAATCTCTCTGCCATGGAGTTTTGGAGGATATGATCAACTTTCGCTGTGGGTGGCACCCCATGGACTTCAGGACCGTCAAATCGAAGCTCGACAACGATTCGTACTCTACGGTCGACCGGTTCGCCGATGATTTGAGGCTCACGTTCTCAAAGGCCATTAGAAACAACCCTCCTTCCCACCTTAATCATCGAATAGCCAAGGAGATGAAGCAAGTATTCGACTACGAGATGAAGCTTTTACGACGAACCTACTCCGTTATCGACTGGTCTACAAAGAAGAGGAAGAGGGAACCAGACTCTGGAGCTTTGATGGACGATGATAAGGATCAGAAGGAAAAAGATTCCTGTTGCGCAAAGAAAGTGATGTCGTCTTCGGGTATTGTTATAACCGGTGTCGACAAAAAGGGGTTGGGGAGAAGAGCAAGTGAAGCCGTTGGAGCAGAAAGTGAAAGCCCCAAGAGATCGGTTTTGAGGAGCACCAAGAAGTTCGAAGCTGGCGATGATGATGATGATAAAAAGGTTAATAATGACGTGAAGGCTGATGGTGATCAGGTCCAACCGATCTCAGCGGAGAAAGCTCTCCGAATCGAAGCCCAAAAACGTCGCTTCGCAGAAACCATATTGAGAGCGGAGCAGAAGATGGTGGAGTGCAAAAAGGATCCGGATTGCTGTCGCCGTTATGACTCGTCGGCCGAAACTCAGAAAGGTTGCTTTGCAGAACTCATATTGAGAGCCAAGCAGAAGATGGTGGAATGCAAAAAAGATCGGCGTCCTTATGAGAAGGAACGAGAAAGAGCTCGGATGGCTCTTCTACAGATGGAAAAGAGTGTTGAAATTGATCAAAACCAAGAAACCGAAAGAGAGCTTGAGAGACTATGCGGTGGGCCATTTGATAGTTTTGGCTCGTTTCTTAATCCTGATTCTTATGTCTTTGAAGAGGACGAAGATGACTTGCTTTGGATCACTGAAGATTTGGAGGAAGGAGAAATCTTGCAATGTTGAAGAATTCGGTATATTTCTTTCCTTCACTTAACTTTGTTTATATTAATAGTAGTTGCATATATAAGAATTGATCGTTTCGTCATATTAAGGATATGTTTTTGTATCTGTCTTGTCATTCCACCAGAAACATGAAATTTCACGTTTTTTTTTTGCAGATTGAAGCCGTCAACTCCTTAGCCGGAATGAGATTGGAGAAAACCCCTCCTCATACATGCTGTTTCTTTCAGGCAATCAAGATAATTATATATACAAGCGTAAACACTCTTTTTTCCTTGCTACTTTTGTCACTGAGTTTTTTAGTAAGGTTTTTAATGAGGTCTATTAAGAATGGTGAATATCAAAGGAAAAGTTTCGGCTTGACTTTATGTCCTCACTATTCAGTTTGTATATCCTATTAAAAAAATTAGTCACGTTTTTATGTTTGTAGAGAACACTTGAGGATTGTTCTTTAACTTGAGTCTAGTTTTTGAGTTGAATTTGAGTTATAACTTAAATAAAGTTGAGTAAAATTAAATAAAGTTGGAACTTAAAAAAATGTGAACTTGAATAAAGTTGTAACTTGAGTTTAAACTTTTTCTGAGTTTTGTTGCAAAAGAACAATCCCTTGAATTTTTATGTTTTTTACTTATGAGCTGGGGCTGTCAGCATGACTTCAAACTCCATTTTGTTAGTGTAATTATTTAACTAAAGAAATTATAAATTAAGAGCAAATGGTAAAAATTTTGATTTATACACTTTTTAAAAGATATTTATTAAGATTATCTAATGAGAAAAAGAAAAACTTCAAATAAATCAAATGCTAAAAGAGAGGAAAATGAGATAAATACTAGTGTATGAGTTATAACTTCTACCCCTTAATCATAATTAATAACTTTTTAATAAAAAAAACTATATTAATAAAAAGATATTAATTATTTCGAGGGGGAACGTGAAAACGACACCAAGTTAAAAATCAATGCCAATTTGTTAAGAGCCCAAACGACAATCTCGAATCTCCCCATCTGTTTGGCCGCCAAGAAAACGATAAGAAAATAAGGAGGGAAAAAAAATGAAAACCGCCGAGAAATGTCCATCCTCCTCCGCAAAAACCCACCACCTTTCTCCACTCCCCGCCGGCATCTCGCCACCGCCCCATCGCCCCTCCCGACCGAGGTCGCCTCCTTCACCAACCTCGTCCTGAAATCCGACCGAGAAACCCTAACCAGAACCCTCAACGACCCCAATCTCCACTGGACCCCACACCTGGTCGACAGGATCCTCAAGAAACTATGGAACCACGGCCCCAAAGCCCTCCAATTCTTCAAAACCCTAGACTACCACCCCAATTACGCCCACGCCGCGTCCTCCTTCGACAACGTGATCGACATCGCCGGCCGTCTCCGAGACTTCCAGACGGTCTGGACCCTCGTCGCGCGAATGCGGTCTCGCCGGATTGGCCCGAGCCCCAAGACGTTCGCAATCATCGCCGAGAGGTACGTCTCCGCCGGAAAATCCGATAGGGCTATTAAGGTCTTTTTGTCTATGCGCGAACATGGCTGCTCTCAGGATTTGAACTCGTTCAATTCTGTTCTTGATGTGCTTTGTAAGTCCGGACGCGTTGAAATGGCTCATAATTTCTTTAGGGCTTATAGGAGAAATTTTAGGGTTGATACTGTTAGTTATAATGTAATTGCAAATGGGTGGTGTTTGATTAAGAAGACTCCTAAGGCTTTGGAGGTTTTGGAGGATATGGTTAAGAGGGGATTTAGCCCTAGTTTGATAACTTATAATATAATGCTTAAAGGGTATTTTCGAGCCGGTCAAGTTAAGGAAGCTTGGGAGTTTTTTGGGGAGATGAAGAGGAGGAAGGTTGAGATTGATGTTGTAACTTATACCACTTTGGTTCATGGATTTGGTGTTGTTGGGGAGATTAAGAAAGCAAGGAGGATTTTCGACGAGATGGTCGGGGAAGGGGTGGTTCCTACGGTGGCGACATACAATGCTTTGATTCAGGTTTTGTGCAAGAAAGATAGCGTCGAGAATGCCGTGGTTGTTTTCGAGGAGATGGTGGGGAAGGGCTGCGTGCCTAATGTGACGACTTATACGGTGTTGGTTAGGGGGTTGTGTCACGCGGGTCAAATGGAGAGGTCGATGGAGTTTGTGGAGAGAATGAAGGGTGATGGGTGTGAGCCGAATGTGCAGATATACAATATTGTTATACGTTACTTTTGCGATGACGGGGAGATAGAGAAGGCGTTGAGTGTTTTTGAGAAGATGGGCAACGGTAGTTGCTTGCCTAATTTGGATACCTACAATGTTTTGATTACCGCCATGTTTGTGAGGAAGAGATCTGATGATTTGTTGTTGGCTGGGAAGTTGTTGATTGAGATGGTTGATAGAGGATTTATTCCCCAAAGGTTGATTTTCAATCGGATTCTGGATGGGCTTCTGTTAACGGGTAACCAAGGTTTTGCAAGAGAAATCTTGAGGTTACAAAGCAAATGCGGTCGTCTTCCGCGTCACTTTAAATTGTGAGGCTTGTTCTTCTTTAAATTAGCCTGTGAAAACACTTGAATGTGATGGGGATTCATTCATCTGGTCATGACACGCACCTCACATATTTGGCGAGTGAGTTAACACTCTTGTAATCACATTGGTTGAACAGAGCTTCAATGATGTCCAACTTGAGGTACTTGTTCATGGATTGGCTATAGGAGAGAGTGTAAATCTTTTCAGTCGTTCAGTGAGTATGAAGTAGCATCATGTCGCACAGGGCAACAGTCAGACCAAGTTAGTCAATGGTCTGATCACTCCAAGGTTCCTCCTTGGCTTCTTCTCCGTTAAATCACATTGGTTGAACTAGGAACTTCTACGATGTCCAACTTGTGGTACTTATGCCTGCTTCTGCAGGCAGTCCCCAATAGGAGTGGTTATGTAAATGCAGAGTTTCAAGTCTTTCCTTTCTTCTGTGAAAAACATTACAATGAAGCAGCTTCGTGACTAGGAATATAATACAAGGAAACTGCCATACCAAGATGGTTAATTGGTTCTTTTATCGCTCTGAGGCTCGGCTTCCTCTTTGCCATCGCCGTACTTGTTTGATAATTCATAAGCTCGTATCAGCTTGTTGAACTAACCATTTACACAAGAAATATATTTAAATTTTGGCAATAACTCGCCCGCCCTCTTGATTATTACAATGTTCGATAGCAGCTTAGAAATCTTGAAGCGAAACAAGTCTTAATAGTTTTATCTTGAGATTTCTACATCAGTATCTTCCTCAATACAATTTTCCCTCCAGCGCTTACAGTCACATGTTGTAACACCCGACGATAAATTTGGTTGTGATGTTGTTCACACTAAAAAAAAAAAAAAAAAAAAAAAAAAACTTGACGTTCACAACAGAAGGAAACTTGTAATTAACATTGTCCTTTTGATTCTTTGATGTCACGATAACGACATGTCGTCCTCCGCCAACACTCAAAAACGACGCCTATTACCAACAACAGTTCTTTTCATTACATAATACTAGGACAAAGAAACGACAAATGTTTTGGACTTTAAACGACATTCATAAAAAAAAAAAAAAAAAAAAAAAAAAAAAAAAAAAAAAAGAGACGATAGGTCTATTTTGTCGCTTCCCTTGGCAGTTCTGGAGCCGATGGAGAAGCGGGAAAAGGAAACAAAAGAAAAACGAGAAGTGAGGTCAAAATCGGTAATTAAAGAGTCGAAGGGCGCGTCCGAAGTTCCTGAAAAGAAACAGAATTCCCGCTCCTTCAAGCTTTCAAAACAAACCATCCCTCCAAACACCTCCCCGCTCTCAGATCCCAAAAATAATTATTAATTATAAAAAAAGTTTTATTTTGCAGTATTTCAATTCAAACATCCAAACCCGCCATTACTGCAAAATCTTCCCCCTCTCTCTCCTCTCTATAATTTCCATCTCTCTCTCTCTCTCTCTTGATTATGGCGGCGCGGTCGCCTGCTTCGACCGTGCCGGAGTCTTCCAAGCACCACGCTTATAGCCGGAAACAGAAGTCTCTCGGCCTCTTGTGCTCCAAGTATTTCCCTCCCTCCCTCCTCTCTCTCTCTCTCTCTCTCTCTCTCTCTCTCTCTCTATGCCCCCAGTCTGTCCCCCCCCCCCCCCTCTCTCTCTCTCTCTCTCTCTCTCTCTCTCTCTCTCTCTATATATATATATATATATATATGTATGCACATGTGTGTGTCTTCGTTTTTCCTTATTCTGATTTCTTTCTTGAATTCGAATTTAAATTCCGGTTTCGGTGCAGTTTCTTGAGCTTGTACAATCGTGACGGCATTACCTCCATTGGCCTCGACGATGCCGCTTCACGATTAGGTCTTGACCTCGCTTTCGTCTTTGAGTTTTTCCGTGTGAGTTTTTGGTTTTGAATTCGAAAACTAACTGGTTTTAGGATTTGCAGGGGTCGAACGGCGACGGATCTATGACATTGTCAATGTCTTGGAAAGCGTTGGGGTGAGAAATCTCTGATTTTTTTTATTCTTGCATTTCTTCCCAATTTTAAGTGAGATTTTTTTTTCCTTTTCTGGGTTCGGTCATCGACTTCTGATTTGGATAGGGATCCTAGTTTGATTGGTGATTTGATTTCAGGTATTAGCGAGAAAGGCAAAGAATCAGTATAGTTGGAAAGGTTTTGAGGCTATTCCTAAGGCTCTTCAGGAGCTCAAGGTAACTAAATTTTGATATTTTCTTCTCTCCTTGAGAAGCTTCACATGTTTTGCTATCTCAATGGAATTAGTAAACGCGTGAATGGTGAATACTTGGAGCTTAGAAACTGATACTGATTTTGTGCTGTGATGATGTTATAGGCTGACGGCTGGAAGGACAATTGCAATTCCTTTGACGGAAACGAGTATTCAAAAGTAGGTAAACAAGAGTTATAGTTGATAGAATTGTTCCACAAAATTGTATTTATTTCTTTGTTTTTGGTTTCAATAAAAAGATTGATTTTTTTTGGTTGGTCTATTTAGGTATCCGATGACGAAGACGATGATACTAATGGGAGTCAGAATGACAAGTCAAATCCTGGTTTGAATCCCAAATCTTCTGCCTCCTCGAAAACAGGTGTGAAATTTCTCGTTTCTTTGGCGTGAAAGTGGGAATTCAGGGATTTATTAGATATGCATGGGTTGTTTTAAGCATGTGTAGAACAACTATTTTGGACGACTAAATATGTTGGTGACTTAGTTCAGTATGATGAAAGATCTCACCTGGTATTTGACGTAGGTATTGTATAGATGTAATAATTCTATTTGATTTATAGAAGGCTAGGATTGAGTATTAGATGAATACCAAATGTATTTAATTTGAAAACTCTAGTAGTTTGATCGTTTATACCAGTAAGGTTTACTGTAATTGAATGAGAGTTTTGGCATTGGAAAAAGTTTTCTTACCTGAACAAGCTTTTGTTTTTCCTTTCTTTTTTCCTCTTCTCGTGCCACATTCAATTTAATGTCCACATTCCCAGGCATGAATTTTGAACTGTTCAATTTTATTATGATGTAGAGAAATTATCATTTTTGACGTATGTTCTTACTTTATATGCTTCTTTGCAGAACATAGAAGGGAAAAGTCTCTGGCTCTTCTTACTCAGAACTTTGTGAAGCTCTTTGTCTGCACTAACGTGAGTGAATATGTGAAATTTCTTTTGTGCGGACTATTCTTTCCCTTAATTCTTGGCACGCTTGACATTTCCAATTAAACCTTTCAGGCGTGCTTGATCTCCCTTGACGAAGCTTCAAAGTTGTTGCTTGGAGATGCCCACAACTTGTCAGTGATGAGAAGTAATTCTCTTAGTACTTGGTCTTTCATTTCTCTCTCTTTCTTAACGTGAGTGACACGGAGAAGCTGGAAACACTTTTGGGATGTTTGTTTCAAGGGTTCGTTCCTGGTGCTGAATCATGGTTCTTGATTCTTTATAGTGTTTTTCTCTCACAAAAAATTTGAATTTCAAAAATAAGAATTATGAATCATGGTTTTGAACCCATGAACCAAACGTCCCATTTGGTTAACATGGTGTCCTTTGTGGTTAATTCAGCAAAAGTTAGAAGGCTGTATGATATTGCGAATGTGTTGTCCTCCATGAACCTAATTGAGAAGGTGAAGTACTAGCCCAAATTTTCTCTGGAATACTCTGAAACTAAATTTGTTTTACTCTCTAGTCTGAGATTTATTGCTGCAACTATGCTCAAGTTTTAAAGTGGAACATTATGCAGACGCATACGGTAGACACCAGGAAACCTGCATTCAGGTGGTTGGGATATGGAGAGAGCACTGAGAATTGTGGGTCTGCTCACAATTCGCTTACCACGGAGTCCAGAAAAAGAGCTTTCGGAACAGATGTTACAAACATCAACTTTAAGAGGAGTAAAGTGGATTCATCAATAGGTGGGACTTTGAACTCGAACTTCAATAAGCAGAAGCAAGTGAAATACGAGAGTTTTGTACATGAGGTTGATAGAAGCAATGTGGAAGAGGATCCAAAAGATGGTTCAAAGAGCTACCAGTTTGGTCCCTTCTCACCAGTCACCGTAGCAAGAGTCGGTGCCTCCGAGCATAGCAATCCAAGGAGGTTTCATGACTGGGAGAGTCTTGCTTCTGCGTATCAGCCTCAATATCAAAACCAAGGTATCAAATTTCTCCTTATTCCTTGAGAACATTATCAACGTTGGAACTTTTGGCTGCAAAAATATGAGTAGTTGACTATATTTAGCTCATCATTTTGCAGCTTTGAAAGACCTCTTTTCGCATTACATGGAAGCGTGGAAATCATGGTACTCCAAAGTCGCCGGGAAGAAGCCAATTAAAATTTCTTGATCAGTTCTACGTATTATATCAACTCCACTTGATTAGTTAGGTTGTTTAAAGATAATTCTTTAGTGGGTGTCATTTGACGAAGTGATGGGCCATTGTTGGACGCATATCCTCTATGCACCAACTTGGAATCGCCATCCTCACTTGGCTATTATATTTACACCAATGCTTTGACATTTCCACAAGTTGGCTGAATTGCTTATGGATTGATTGGAATTTGGAAGTTAGAGGATAAACTTTTCATGTTATTTTCTAGATGCTGTATAGGTTAATAATTTAGGGTAAATTCATTCTAGCTATCAAATGTATGTCAGTTATCTGACATTTGTGTTTAACTTCTTTTTTTTTTTTTTTTTTGCTCATCAACTTTTTTTTTTTACATGTACTTTTCCTTACCATGTGAAGATGTGACGGCACTCTGCAGTAGTATTAAAGCATTGGCCTCTTTTTCTTTGTTTTAGTTGCTTAGATCACTTTCTCTATCGTTCTTTTCCCCTGAAATTCTCTATCGTTTTCTTGTTATAGTTACTTTAATGCTGTTTGGTTACTTTGGTATGAGGGATAAAAAATAAAAAAGGAACGACAACTAATAGTAAGGTGAATGAAGTAAAATTGTAAAAGGTAAATTTTCTTGTGTTTTTTGATAGAAGAGAAAGAAAATGTTAAATCGAGTGTATTTATAATAATATCCATATAAAAATAAAAAGATGACGAGTGAAATGGTAAAAATAGTTATTTCACATTACTTTTGTTTGTCCTTTTTTCCACTAGTTTTGTTTTTTAATAAGCTCCCTCAACTTTTCTTTCTAGAGTTGGAAAAAGATTAAAAAATGGTGGGATCGTCGATCACGGATTTATAATTTCCTTTCAGTTTTCCTTGCTACCAAACAATCCAAGCCTATCTTTCCTCCAATTTTTTTTTTTTTAAATTACTTAATTTATCCTTAGAAGTGTATAGATCAAAATTTTTATTTCTTATTTTTAATTAATAACCTTTGAATATTTGATTAAAAGGATATTAATTAAGAGAAGGGAAAAAAAATCAAGCCATACAATCTAAATGGGTATTTGTCTCTTTTTCCTAATCTTTTTCCCCTTCCTTTTCCACTCTACCAAACATAGGCTTAACTTCATCTATGCTTCTGGTAATTCTTGCATCCATGAGATGTCTTATTTTAGGGCATGTTTACTTCACGTGAAAAGGAAGGAAAGAAAATGAACAGTATTTTCTTTTCTCATTTAATTCAACAGTCTATTAAATAGTGTAAGAATCTAATAATACATAAATACATAAATAACAATAAATATAATACATAAATACCAAAGAGAAAATATCTCTAGGAATTTTATTTGCTAAACCTTAATTTACAGAAATAATAAATTATTCAAACATCAGTTTTCTACTAGAAAACCAGTTATGATACACTAGAGAGACAATCATAGAATTATTTCCTCTTGAACACTGACATTGAGAGTCTTATTTGGTAGGACAATGCTGTTTATTACCACTACTTCATCTTCAACAGACACTGCTTCGCCTGGATATACAAGTGTGACAACACAATCAAATTGTATGGTGTCAAATAATCAATGTTTCTGAACAGGAAAAGGATATAACACAGTTGAGGAAAAGAGAAAGAGAACAAGAAAGCAAAATGTACCAAGGATTGTTATTCCAAGTTTTGCATTGTAATCTCCACTGGCCTGAAATCATATAGCAAGCTTAGAATGCCACCTTTAGTTTATGTGTGTATATATATATATAATATAAATGTAAATAGATTTGTATATATCATAAGGAAAGACAATTCAGTTCAATAATTTAGGTAATGTCATGTCAGTTCAAGAAAATCTTCAACTTGCCTGGACCCGGGACCATTTTCCAATGGAAGATTTCCAACCGATAATTGCATGAAGAACAACTGCATTTTCCTGAAAGAGGACATATTTCAAATATGAGCCAAGTGAACCATTTGGAAACACTTCATTGCATTTGATTGGTTGTACCTTAATTTCTACATCATCAAGGATGATACAGCTGATGAGCCTTGCGCCGGCGCCTATGCGAGCATTTGCAGATATGGAGACGTTTGGACCAATCTGGCTCATCATAGAGTAGAAATAAATACTAAAAGAATCCTAAAACGAATAGTAGATATTCTTTACAGTCACTCGTAGGCTTTTTCTAACAAAAAAACTGTTATAAGGAGTTGGAATGAGAGAAGAACCTTAGCAGTCGGATGTATTTTTGCTGAAGGATGGACATAAACATCACCTACAATGTTTGCGCTTCTTACGCCATCTCCACTAGCCAATAAATCGGGTGACGTAAACCGGAATTGTGCAAGGTACAGAGCAGAACACTTCAAGGACATTCTGAAAGTAACCAACATTAAAAACTAAGAAATAATATCAAGAGAACAAATTTTGAGGCTGATCTTAAGTCTTACCCGGGAGTTTTAATCTGTTCCCAGAATTCCCTGGTCTCATAGGTGAATAACTGTTTTTTCCCTGCTAGAGGTGACAGGATATCTTGATCCAATCTTACAAAATTTGAGGGAAGACTTCTGCCAAAAGACCATTATGTCATTGTCAATGTGTATTTTTAATACTGTATTTCGTATGGTACACTTGTGAACATAGATTTGGATCCATTTTTCAGTTAGGCTCAAAGAATCAGAGTACATCAAAGAGTGCACTTGGCAAAACCTTTTCCAATTAATTAACAAATGAAAAATGATGCATATCATGAAAAAAAAAGTTTCGTAATGCATCACGAAACTAAATTATAACTTGTCAGGGATAAAAGAGTTAGGACGAACTAGTAATTTTATTTTAGTTCACAAATCTACAGAACTTTGACAGCATGATATATATATATATATATATATGTATACACACACACATTTTTCCATGATGTGTATCACTGCTTTACTAGATAGAATGGTGCATTTGAATTCCAAGAATTGATTTCAAATATTCTATTATGATACCTTGTTGCTGGTGACTGGAGGGCTTCAAAGCTGGATAGACGTCTCAGATTAGCTGCAAATAACAGAAGAAACCTCAGAAATCAGAATGATGAGTGAAAATATATTTGCATACACAAACCTATTTACAGGAATCTTTATCACTTACCCCTGTCCTTCCTTTGTGTGGAAACCCCCTGTATGGCAGTAAAAATATCTGGTGTAAATATGTAGACACCGCAATTTATCAGGTCACTAACCTGCAAGGGTTGAAATTATAGTTGAGCTATGTTTTCAAAGAAATTTGTATTTTGATACACCATTCTTTGGAAGAGGGAAAGTTATATTATGATCTCAAACGTACAAAAGTCTCGGGTTTTTCTGTGTAATGCAACAGTTCATGCGTGGTTGGATCAGCTACCAGTTCCCCAAATTGATTGGCTGATTCTGCAGAAACCTGGATAAAGAGAAAATAAAAGCCAAAATTTGAGAGAGAAAGAAAAGATCAATAACAGTGTTATTGGTTGGGGATGAGTTGACCAACCTTGATCACTAGGATTGTTCCCATTCCACCATAACTTTTATGAGCCTCTGCAGATGTAAATAGCAAAAGCTAGCAATTAACGCAAAAACATAAACACTGAAGAAATATACAAAAATAAATAAATTAATTAATTAAAATTAAAATTAAAATTAAAAAAAAAATTGGACCTTTTTACAGTGGGATACCCAACCAGTAGTGTGTGTTTCTCAATGTAAGATCTACTCAAAATCGCATCAAAATGAAAAAGTACACAACTAACAGAACTTGATAAAAAATTGATGGTTCGAAAACAGTGCCCCGTTGGTATACTACCAAAGAATTCCCATTAAAAAGTTCATCATGTTTTACTCATAATTACCTAGCATTTCTGGCAGTGGAAAACTGCAGCAAACGTCACAATTCAGCAAGAAAATATGCGACTGCGATACAAAAATCAAGCAACCAAGAATCAAAATTGTAGTTCAAAAAACTCAGAATTTTATTTCCAGAGCAGAAGTAAAAGAAAAAAATGTTGAAAAAAGATAAGCCTTAGATAAGATTAAAGAAAGGTGAAAATAGATACCGGGCTGTCTTCCATGATCAGATCTCTGAAGTTATAAAGTCCACCAGCTGAACCATGTGGCTTGTCTTCCTTCACATATCTATGTCAAAGTCAAGATATTAGCAAGCAAAAAGACATTTCTAATTCTCAAATAAGGGAGAGAAAAAAAAAAAAAAAACATATTAGTGTTACCTAACAGGAACTTTAAGCTCATTAGAGATCGAAGACACATATAATGCGAATTCACGCTCTTCATAGAAACCAATGAGATAAATATACGCCAGGTTAGGAATCTGTGATTGACAGCAAGATTAAATCTTTGTGATTATTATTAATCAGAAATTAAACCAAAAGACAAAAATTACCCTTTTACATGCTGAAATTGGATGATGGACCATTGGTTGTCCTGCCAACGGAAAAAGCGGCTTTGGAATATTGAATGACAATGGTCGGAACCTAGTTCCTGCAAAACTCAGAATTCAAAGACAATGTAGAAGTATGAGAATTGAGAAAATGTATTGTAGATTCAATCAAGAACCAAATTTCAACACCATTATCAATCAACCAATTACAATAAAGAGAAATAGAGATAAAATTCAAGCCGTTATTGGGAAAAATCCATTCCAAAAAACCAAAACAATTTCTAAGAAACAAAGAGATTTTCATTTATGTGATGATCATCCAAACCTTTGGTGGGTCCACCAACCATGATCACGGCAACAACCTTCTCCTCTGCGCTCCCCATTCTGAACCACCCAATTCCAAAAAACCCAGATCCAGAACAGCCACAAACTTTGAACTTATGAAGCTAAATTCTCTGGAAACACAAATGTATCCCCACTAGAGAAAGATTCAGGCGCATATTCTAAGTTCAATAGGGAGCAAGAAAAACAAAAGTTGAGTATGTTTTAGGAAGAGGGTCGTGTATGAAAAATGATATGGCAAAAGAATTTAGGAAGATCCAATCCAGCACAGTTAAGTGTCGGTATCAAAAGAAAGAAAAATGGTTTTATGCTTAAAAAGTCAAGTTCCTACCCAAGTAGCCAAAGCCACTCGCAGTCGATTAACTACGGGGAAAACAGCCAATGCCATTGCCAAGGAAGTTTCCTAACTTTTTAACTTTATTATTATTATTTGGAAATAACCTTATATCAGTATTTGTAACATCACATGGTTACAGATTTTTTGTGTCTAAATCCGCTTTCACCTTTCTGGGGAGAGGGAGAGATAGTTCTCAATGAATATCATAGCGTGGACCCACTTCAATCAAGATGGATTATTTAAAAAAAAAAAAAAAAACAAATAAACAATTTTCTAAGAGGCACTGAAAAATAAAACTACGAAAAAATTTATATTTTCAAGATTTAGTTTGATCATATTCGTGGTCATAAATTGATACAACTAATAAGAAGGTCCTGTTAGAAAAAGATTCTTTTTTTAGGAGAATTTTATTTTATCAGTGGAATAATTTTTATTTGTTGTTAGATTAATTTTTTAATAGTTAAATTTATATAATTTTATATTAAAAATTTATAATGCGTTATAAAATATTATTTTTATTATAAATTTAATTATTAAAAAATTAATCTAATAATAAAAACGTAATTTTTATCGGTAGAGCACAATAACATGCTCTACAATGAAGAGTCTCTCAAAAGGGAAAATTCTATTTTTAATTGTCCAAACTTTTTAAGGACTATACGTATTGGTTTGTAACCTGTAAGACGGAAGTTGTAACATCATAATTCACTGTTACCAAAAAAAAAAAAAAAAAAAAAAAAAACCTTTTTACATCGTCATATTTTCGTAAAATAAACGATGATTTTTTGATTTTTTTTTTTTATAATTTTACCGTGAATCTATGCACCTATTGCAATTGCATCGTGTTTCTCAAATTTAAAATGTACTATTTTTTTTTTTTTATGAATATTGCAATTTACTCGGTCTAATTCCTGAATCTAAAGTTGTTTTACAAGAACTCTTTCAACAATGGTGCTTATCATAGAAATACTCCCTAGAATTTTAAACTTTAGTCTCATCCCTTGATCAGTGTAAAAATATCGAGAATCCCATTTTGTCCACTTTCGCCTAAATTTTGTCCAATTAAGTAAGCTGCCCTCAATTGGTAATTTTGGTTGAAGTTTCTTTTCACAATGAATACAAGAATTCAGATTTCTTGGACTTCAAATGCAATCTTGCAATACCTTTTAGCTCTTGATTCTTATTCTTACCGCGATGATGAAAATATTGGCATTTTTTATTTATATTTTTATAGAAATTTCTGTACTTTAAAAGTATCATACAGAAATAGAGGTGTAATATTTTTTTCTTAAAATATCTTAAAATTTTCACGGATATTTTTGTAGATACAGAAATAGAGGTGTAATATTTTTTTCTTAAAATATCTTAAAATTTTCACGGATATTTCTGTAAATATCAATATTTTCACAAAAATTTTTATTTTTGAATAAAATGTAGTGTTAAATGACCGAATATCGAGAAATTTTACGACAATTTCACGGAAATATCAGTAAATTTTCGCAACTTTATATATATAGTTTTATTTTACTTTTAAAAAAAACCTAAAAAATACGGCATGTCTAAAATTATATAAAGAACTATTCAAACTTTATGCGTGTTTAAAATACCTTCTAACCTTCTAGAAGCTCCTTTTTGTATTATTAATTTATCATCATGTATGAATGAAACTTTCTAGAAGCTCCTTTTGGTATTATTAATTTATCATCATATATGAAACCATATATGTATGATATATGTAGACTTTCAGCTATTTTATTTGGAGGATGTTTGGTTAATGGATTCAGAACTATTTTTAGTTTACGTGTATTTTTTGTGAGAGAAAACACTGTAGCGAGTTACGAACTATGATCCGAATCATGACACAGATTCTTACTCCAAACGCACCCTTAGTTTGTGAACGTGTGTCTAGTATTTATGGTATTATGATCACACTTTACTTTGCATACTTATCAAATAATTGATATTTTAATTAAGAATTTTATCTATTTAATGTATTATTATCTATTTTAAAATTTTTAAAATCTCATTTGAAAATAGAGTATTTTAATATGAATTTCTATTTTTTTTTATCAATTTTCACCGATATCAATATTTCCGTCGATAATTCCGTAAAATTTAAATATCGATATTTTCGTAAATATTGATATTTTCATCCTTACTTACAAATAATCTCGTGCCTGTGCAAAAAATAAAAAAAAATAAAAAATGTGCCGTTCCATCTCATGATAGATAGAGATGCAAATGACATCAACTTTTCCTTTTTTGTTTTTGCTAACTATTGAAAGGCAGTTCTTTTTTTTTTTTTTTTTTAATTGAGAATTAATGAAAGCCACTTGAAGGGACATGCATGTGCTACCCAAGTTTGCAGTTTGTTGCTTTTAGAAGGAGAAAAAAAAAAAAACATTTTGCAACTCAAGCTTAGCAAATGATCATGTACAAGGCTAAAAAGGAGAATAGGCATAAAGTATTTTGGCCGTAACGATCATGTACATTTTTTTTTTTCTTTTTTGGCTGATGAAATGACAAACACCAGTTCGTGAAAATAGACAGCATCATTTTCCTCGATTGGTTAGAAAAGTTGCAGACAACTTGGCCTTCATATTTCAAGAATTTCTTTTGAGGCATAAACCTGTCAAGGTCATATAGAGATCAGAAATCTGGAAAAATTGTTCCAAGAATACCATATTAAAATGGGGGGAAAAACCAACAAGGGGGAAAAAGTTCATATTATAGAGACAAGAAACCTTCAAAATACTTTTCTATTGGCATAATTTTCAAAATCTACTAATGCATGTTTTATGGTTATGCACTGAACCAGGGAGATAATTATACCATGAATAATAACAAACATATTACAAAGCTTTCACATATGTTATTGGAAGTTATGTTGTAGTACACAGATTCACATAAAATTACAAACATAACAGGGAAAACTCTTTTTTTTTTTTTTTTTTTTGTAATCTTAACAAATATCAATTAAAAGTGCACGTGTCAAGATTTTTACTATTTATTCGTGATTCATAATTTTTTTAGTCAAAAAAATTACACTAATAAAAAGATATTTATAAAGAGTAAAAGATAAAAATCTAGACTCAAGTTCTCTTAAAAATGAATTCTCCATATTTTCCTTTTTTTTTATAACTTGTCAAACCACTTTACTATGATGTGAATAATGGTGGTGCCCACGTATAACTCCCATCACTATGTGAGTGATGGGTTTCACGGCCTCATCGGATTATTTTGTATTTATGACATATTGAAATTGTTAAGTCTCACTTATCTGCACTTTAGTTAGCAAATTGCTGGTCCCCTGTACTGTCCACCACCCTACCTAATGCGTATCATCTCTATACCATTAACTATAGGTATAACCTAATATTCTGACAATGGAAGGAAATTCTAAGCTACACAATGTAGAGATATTTGTTTTTTTTTTTTTTTTTTTTTTTTTTTTTTTTTTTTTTTTTTTTTTTCTCTGTGTCTATCTTGATTCTTGAGAATTCTTCCATCTGTTTCTAATTTTTAACTAGAGAAGGACCTATAATAAAGTCTTGCCCTTCCCCAAATCCAACTGCATAAGAGTTAGGCAGATGTCACGAAGCCACTACTTTTTTATTTTTATTTATTTTTTGAAAAATCGCGAGGTCAAGTTGATTACGGGTCTCACACTTATTATTATTATTATTATTTTTTGGCCAATTGATTGATAACTTCAGAAAGGATAAGGTAAAAGGTTGAATAGTAGATGTACTATTAGAAAGTTTTTTTTGGTTTTTTTCTATTTTAAAAATATTAATATTTTCTATTTTTTTAATCCTTAAATTTTATCAAAATCACAAGTGACATTTATTTCCACTCTCGGTAAGCAAATACCTTTAGGAAAAAGCAAAAAGTGAGAAAAGGCCAAAGTTACATCAACAAGAATCAAATTTCCAAACTACTCGCACCAAATCCAGCTTGCAGCTGCTATATATTTGAAATGTTAGTTGCAAAGTACTGTATATTAATACAATCTTAATAAGAGAAGATATGTTATTTTTGGAAATCGCACAGTTTCAAGCAAATACAGTTGAAAATATTGAAACCAAGAATGAAGAATCATATCGGCCGTGTTGAGAATTGATCCTGTTTTTATTTTTTATGTTTTTTGAGAAAAAAATGAAAACGTTTTTGAAATGGCGTTTGACGCAATAAATACAAAAAACAGAAATAAAAATAATTTTTTAGTTTAATGTAAAATGAGAGAAATAAAAAATGACTTTTAATCGTTTTTCATTTTTTGTTTTCGTTTTCTCATCTTTCAAACAAAGGGAGATATATATATATTAATGGGTTTTATATACTGAAAATAATCATTTGATAAAACTATCAAATACATTTTTAAAAATGATTTCTGTCTGAGATTAAAAACGTTTTCATTTTTATTTTCATATAGAAAATAAAATCATAAATTTCAAACGCGCCTATCCTATTTTGATAATGATTAATCAGTTGAATTGTAGTTCCCTTTTTGCAATTGAGCAAGGGGAGCAACCATTCATAGTTTGTGAAACTTTGTAACGGTTCAAATAACTGCATGATGGGCAGTTTGTTTACCTTTGCTAGTTGAGCTGCTTCAAGTGGTGCTTGGACCGGATGGTTCCATTTCTTGTATAAAATGAGAGCTATAGGCCTCACACTGTATTGAATAGTTAAAAAAATAAAAAAATAAAAAAACAAAAAAAAAACTCCGCATGATAGGAATCCCACAATTGTCTGTCTAGTTTACAGTGACTTGTAGTGCAAGTATGAGTCTTCCTTCATTTTTACATCTCTGAACTCTAAATGCAAGACATGTGAGTACTATTTTAAGTCATAATCTTAAACTTTAAGTTAGCCGATAATATAAGATTCACTCAGAAAATCACTGCAGATTACATAAATATATATATATATTTTGTGGGTGGTGGTCACAGCCAAATTCCTGCCTTCAATTACCCAAAACAGAACACAACAAGAACACTATAAGAATCAAGTAAACCCCGATGCATTATTTCGTATAATTGGATTTACAATCTAGAGATCACCCAAAATGCGTTTTGAACAATATAAAAGAAACTCAGACTGATGCACAAACATGATAAGACATGAACACTAACAGAATCAACTCACTAGTTCAGCTACAGCTACATTAGAAGAGTATTTCTCGCATTCCGTCATTGAAAAGGTGGAGCAATCCTCTCGATTTATTTCGCGCAACTTGGAACATGATATATCCTCTGTTTTATTCAAGGAAAAGCTTTCACAGCTTGGAAGGAGACTTGTACCAACCCCAAGGTTCATCAGAGATGTACTGGGTAACCTGCTTCACGCTCAAGTAGTTGTCAAGTCCCCTGTTAAAAATAAAAGGAAAATTCGAGCAATGACAAGAACAACATTTCACCGTCATGGAAAAATGCAACAAAACATTTAATACAATTGTCTCCCCACAAGAAGGATAATATCATAGAGTTCTCCATCAGATTTATGTATTTCATGTGTAGCTGTTTGGTAGAATATATCTTTTTACTAGATAAGCTAAACGAGGGGAGATGTTATATTCCTTATCAGAAACCATTATTTATTTCTAAGATGGGATATGAAGGTTATACCATTCTCCTAGTTCACGCCCAAAACCGCTTCGTTTGTTGCCTCCCCATGGAGCCTGGCAGAAGCATGGCTGTGAGCAATTGACCCAAACTATTCCTGCCTGGAAAGCCTGTAGATAGCAAAAAGTAAGCACATATTAAGCACCCGAATTACACAGGATAATCTATTGTAACTTGAAGTACAAAGAAGTCTCACCTTAGTGAAGCGCTCACATCTTTCTAGATCATTTGAAATTACAGCAGCACCTAAGCCGTAGCTGTAAAAGATAAACAAAATGTCAATTTGAAGTCTTCTAAATCACTTCACCATCAAAAAGATATAATCATTACTATAAAAAAAAAAAAAAAGATATAACCATTACAAGTACAAAATGAACTAAGGGATGTTTTTGCCAGTAAAGAAAGTATAAATGAAATAATAAATAATTCTTACTGTGTATCATTTGCTAATTCGATGGCTTCATCTTCAGTGGAAAATGTTTTAACACACAGAACAGGTCCAAAAACTTCCTCTCTCCAAATTTGCATGGAGGTGGTGACATCAGTAATAATGGTTGGTTCTATGAAGAACCCTTTCTTTAGATGCTGCAATTTATAGATTCATGTAAAGTGATAACTTACGGCCCTGATATTTAAATAACTTAAAAAAAGGATTTTTGATTTATACATAAAAACAGAAAAAGGAAAAAGAGGGGAGAAAAGGTCATGCAGAAGAGATTATACTTCGGGACGGGCACCGCCGCACAGAATTTTTGCACCTTCATCTCTAGCAGTTGAGATGAACTTCAAGACTTTCTCATACTGAAACAGAGGAACAAAATATTAGATGACACACCAACATTATCTTGAAACATGTTTGTTTAAAAGATGGTCTCTATCCAACATCCATCACCCATCACCACCAGCGATGATCACTACAAGACATGAAGGCTGTGTCTTACAGATGGGACCCATAGGGCATACCCTATTAGCTGTGGTAATCATCGCCACTGGTGATGAGTATCATTTTTCTTTCTTAAACTTTTGAACTAGTACATACTACAAGAAGTCTGATTTTTAACTATTTCCTGAACGGCAACCAGATTATGGCAAAGTTTTAGTATGAGAGATTGCAATGAGTCATCATTCTTCCCCAGAAACTATTATTTTAATTGAAAACTGAAAATGAGATGGCAATCCATTTTGAATCCCACAATAGTAAACAAAATTCCACGTTTTAAGTGTGTATCCAAATACGGAAAAAGTCAAGCAACTGGTAAATTAAGGAAGAATTTATTAGAGATTCAAAAAAAGGAAGAAATTTATTTTATGGTTTAGCACCTGCCCTCTACTAACAACAGGGCCAAGCCGGCAACCCTCTTCCAGAGGATCTGAGATCCTTATGTTCTTTATCCATTTTACAAGCTTGTCCAAAAATTCTGCTGCGATGCTTTCCTGCAAATAAAAACAAAGTCGTTCCTGCTCAGAAAAAAAAAATGGGGAGGATTCTAGAAAACACATATAGGTTTCAAGTGCTACACACACACAATTGTGGTAACAACATGCATACAGTCATTAATTTCATCTTGCAAAGACGATTTCAAATTTAAGCACGCATAAGTCGAGATGTTTCAAATCACAAGTCATAGCTATGTTCCAAAAGATGCGTTCACAAGTAGTGGAGCAAAATATATTATACGGAACAGGATATAAAATTTTTCCCATATACTTACATGCACTAGAAGACGGGATGTTGCACTGCAAATCTGACCATTTGTCCAAAAGCAACCAAAGACGGTCCACTCAGCAGCTGGATGAATCACATAATAGGAGTGAATTAATCACACTTCTATCACCAGAGCATTTCAAAATTTGATCAATTTTGCATGCAAAAATCAAGGCCAACCACCCAAGAAAAATACAGTCAAAGCTTTAACTTGTGCTTCAGAAGGTACTAACCCTTGTCAAGGTCAACATCCTCAAAGACGACAATGGGGCTTTTTCCACCAAGCTCAAGTGAAACAGGCTATCAAGAAATCATACATTAGATTTAGGAAGAGCCATGAAATTCCACAAATATAGAAGGTCAACAATCAGATTCTAATTCTTTAGCATACTTTGACTGATTGAGCTGCGGTAGTCATAATCTTGCTACCAGTAGCAGTGCTTCCAGTGAAGGCAATCTGTGAAAATTTTCATCAGATACCAAGAACATGATAGATTTTCACCACAATCAACAAAGTGTTTTTGTTATATTACCATATATGTCATAAAAATAGTTTCTATATTTTACTGACATGATTTAGCTTAGTAAAATTTCCGGTGATAAAGTTGAAAGGATAGGAGAACCTTATCAACATGAGGATGAGATGCCAAAGGTGCTCCGGCTTCAGGCCCCAATCCGGTCAGAATATTAAGGACACCGGGAGGGAGGCCAACCTCCTGACAAACATCAGCTAGCTCCAAACAAGTTCTGGTATTGAAAACATGGTGAAAGGCATGAAAATTGCAAACCTTTTTTTTTTTTTTTTTTTTTTTTCTAAAAGCAAGTTCAGAAATGTTAACAAGAACATACATAGACGACAATTCAGATGGCTTTAGAATCGCAGCACATCCAGCAGCCAAGGCAGGAGCTACTTTCCATGTAGCCATCAAGAGAGGGTAGTTCCTTTAACATAAAATATAGGCACTTCAGTCAGTAATATGCCATCATTAGAATTATTATTTGATGCACTTGATACAATATCCTAAGATTAAATGGATATCGCTAACAATTATCATCACAAACCAAGTTATAAACCATTGATCTGCAATTACCATGGCGTGATCAACCCAACAACCCCAATAGGCTCCTTAAGAACATAACTTTTGAATGTCTCCATAGGAAGAGATACAGGAGCTTTCTGCTTTGCATCCAAACCTTCAGCAAGTTCCGCATAGTACTCAAAACACCCAGCAACATCATCCTAGATAATAAAAATAACCATGTAAGGCAGAATTTCATACAATATCCTTGTTGTTCAACCTCTGAAAAAGACCTTTTATCCTAAAAAGGGAATTCCACTTCATTGACAAGATATGTTCAAGGCAGAATTAGTATACGAAAAAAAAAAGGGGGAAATAGTTAAAACTCGGGTATCATGTTCTCCATACAATGTCCCATGCCGCTTCGTCCAATGGCTTTCCACAATCAATTGCTTCAAGTTTAGCTAGCACTTCTTTTCTCTCCGTTATCTGTCCAAAAAAAAAAAAAAAAAGTGATCACGTTTAACAGTCCCATTCAACTCTGAAAGGCCAAATAACGGGAAATCAACATATCAATAAAATAACCAGCAACATTCTCCTTAAAAACTTGTATAATCTGATACGTGACAGCCAATATCATCAACTTCCTTGGAGACTTCATCCATATTCAATTTACAATAAACTACAACCAAAACAAGAATTCATCACAGCTGACATGAGATGATTATGCTCTCTAATTCAACTACTAAACCATATTTTTTGCCTATAACAAAACAAGAAAAATATATAACACACTACCTTAGCAGCAATAGCGCGTAGGTACTTGGCACGAACAGTCCCAGATGCCGAAGCCCAATCGGTCTTCCTCGCAAGGGCTCTCCGAGCAGCGGCCACCGCGAGCTCCACATCTTCCGAAGTAGCCGCCGGAACGTCGCCTAAACCACATTCCACCCAAAAAAAAGCCTTCAATTGATTAAAATTGAATCTAGAAAGCCAAAAGTCAGGTCCACTATTTTCAGCTCAAGTTGAGCAAATTCAAAAAGAAAATGTAAGGTAATACGTTGGATCAATGGATCTCCATATTCAGACAGTCCAGACCTGTTTGGTTGCTATGAAAAATGAATACAGAGAAAGACAACTGTAGCGATACTAAGCAAGTAGAAGATATCCACCACTAATTCAGTCGGAGAAAAAGCAGAAAGTTTTCATTGACGATGAAAACAAATTTAGTAAGATTGCAGAGAGAGAGAGAGAGAGAGAGAGAGAGACCGATGATTTCTTCAGTGGCGGGGTTGATGACGGCGATGCGCTTCTTCAGAACTGGCTCCGTCCACTGACCGTCGATGAATAATTGCCTGCTTGGGATCGGAATCGCCATTTTTCTTCTTCTTAAGCTCTCTCTCTCTCTCTCTTCTCAGCTCTCTGGTTTTGATACTGGGTATCTCAGAACTGATGGTGTGCATTTATATGTTATATATAGTAATACAGTAGTGATTTGCTCCTGGGTAATGATTTCTATATTCTTTTTTTTTTTCTTTTTCCCTCTTCATGATATTTCCTCGTGTTTTTCACCCTAAACTGGTTTACCGAAAGCACTTTTTTTTTTTTTTTTTCAAAAGTTCCGGGAACTTTTATTTATGTCTTATTTCATGTAATTATTTCAGTGTGGGACATGGTTTTTCATTTTTCCTTTTTGTTTTTCATTTTCTTTGGCTTGACTTTTACGGGGTTTCCGTCAGAAAAATCAAATCTGATCTGATTCCAATTTTACACACGGGGCAACAAAAGATCTTTTTAGGCTTTAAAAAATAGAGCCTGTCTGATAGGTCTGAAAATATAAACCGTCAAAAATTTTATTATTTTCAACCGTAAAATTATATTATTTAACATATTTTTTAATTTTATATAATTTTAATTAGATTTAACGGTTATATTTTAATTTTTATAATTAATTTTTGGTAATTCTCATGGTTTTTGTGTAATATATGAATTTTTTGATAATTCTAGAGATTAATTTGATAATTCTAACGATATTTAATCTCTTTAATTCACATGTGATTCGTTGAACATGTTGTTCATGAATATATGTCATTGATTCATATTCGATCCATTAAACGCGTCGTTCGTAGATATATTCTCGTGATAGTTAAATATTTGGAGTAAATTCATAAAAAAAAAAATTCTAGATGAACTTTTTAACATCAAAATTTTGATCCGAGCGTTAAAATTAATCAAAAAGAGAATTTTCACAAAATTTCATTATGGGACTAAAATTTATAGTTTTTACCAAACTGAAGTATGAGGCCGAAGCACAATTTTAAACATATATGGATCAAAATAAAAAAGTTGATAAGCTATCAAATAGTTTTCTGATTGGGTGACATAACACCACCAATAAAAAATTAGCTTATTTTAAAATTTAATTAAAGAAAAAAAGTGAGAGAACTCGTCGATACTTTAAAATTTCACCACTCACTCTTTTTCATTCTCACACACTCTCTTTCTCTATTTTTGAGAAAAATAAAACAAACCCGGAACTCTTAAAAGAACTTATTGAACCCAACAAAAAATTTCTCAAAACACCAATTTTTCTCTAAAAATCTTTTCCCCAACGCATAAAACTAACAATCCCTTCAATTTCTTAGAGTTGAAGATGATTTTCAAGCCCTAGAAACCTCTCAAAAATTGAGTTCAAAACTAATATGAGAATAAGAGTTCTTGTAATCCGTCTTGGTAAGTTTTCTCACTAAAACTCGCTCTTTGCTTGATTTCATTTTATGTTTGGATTATAACTTAGGTTTTGAATGATTTTTTCATGTTTTCTAAAACCACTAAATCCATCAATCAAGTCAAAAACGATTTTCCTACCCTGAGTTATGAGTTCATCGGCAAACAAAGCCAAACATCGTTATTTATTTAAGGGTGAGAATCCTCAACCCCTAAAAAATCTACAGGACAGAGTTTGATTGATTAGTTTGATTATCTGCTGTGATTTTTTATGAGCATTAAGGATGTTTTCTGGTTTGGTTAATTGCATCCTATGTGTTTGCCGAAATAAATATGAATGAGCCCTCTTTCAAACTTTAAGTGCGTGTTTGTAATTGTTTTTAAAAATGATTTTCATATATTTTGAGAAGTAAAAAATGAAAATGAAAATAAAACGATGTTTGTTTAGTAAATGTTTTGAAAACGAAAACAGTAAAAATAATTTTTGTAAAAGAATTAGAAAAAGTTAAAAAGTTGTTTTCACTTTTTTATTTTTATTTTTTAGTATTTATCAATAATATTATAATATATTAATTAATAAACACGATATCATTTTTGTATTATTCTCAAAACAGTCTCTTGAAAAACTAACTAAACGCAATTTCAGAATTGGTTCCAGAATAATTCTCAAAATAATCTTTTTTTTACTTTTTATTAAAAATAAAATAATTTTAAAACCAATTCTAAACGCACTCGAAAGTTTCAGTTTTTTGGAATGTTTTCCATACTGCTTTGTCTTAGATATTAATTTTTTCTTTAAAAGATACCTCCTAAGCTTTCTGTGAGTTCAATAATCACCTGAAAAATGATTTTTATAGAATTAGTTATGAATTTTTAAGTTCGCGTAAAAATTTGTTAATTTCCTAACGAAAATTTTAACCTGGATCAGGGGCTGATTTTGATGAGTTAATAAAAATGAAACCTTGCATGTAATAGCTTTAAAGATAGCACTGTGAGTCTACTTTGATTTGACAATGGTTTCCTAATTTTTCGTGTTACTTACTAAATCATAACAGAGGTCAAATTTGCCCATTTGTCAAAGTTTTTATATTGAGACCTACTTTTGTAATTTCGATTGATTTGGAACTTGAACACAGTTTTGGGAGATTTTAATTTTTATGGCTTACTAAAGTTAAAATGCCTATGTTATAAAAAAAACTTCAGAAAAATTGATTTTATAGTTTTTTGACATTTGCATATTATGTGCTTGTTAGTTGGTATGGGAGAAAAATATAATTTTCTGGGCTGCATTAATTGAATTAGAAAACTGTAATTTTTAGAGTGTTTTTGCCGTAAAAGTTTTTAAACTTAAAATAGATGTTTTGAGCTTTGATTTGACATGTAGTTCATAAAAACGTAGACCCATAGACAAAATTATGAATTTTTCTAATCGTCTTAAGATTGCTGAAATTTCTGCAGAGAATAAAATTTTTTTAGTCAGATTGTAAAACGTTTTTAATAGATTCCCATTTTTTTAAAAATTATAATAATAACAAAAAAACTTGACGTAGAACCAAAAAAGAAAAATATCCAATTTAGAAGTACACAATACTCTCTGTGAGTTGTATTTAGGGGTGGCAATTCGTGTCACGTGTCGTGTTCGTGTCGTGTTTTGATCATTTTTTTTAAATTTTCAGTCAACCCGAACACGACCCGTGATATGAAATTTTTTAAAAACCGCAACACGAACACGACACGACCACTTTACGAGCTGACACGACACGACCCGAAAATGACCCGTGACACGAAATTGACCCGTGAACCCGAAATTGACACGAAAATTGTATACTTTTATTTAGTTTTTTACATATTAAAAATAACTTAAAATTCATAACACACTAAATTACAATAACATCCATTGAAATTAAGCAAATAATAATATAAGATTTTGAGTATAACTATCATGATATCACAAGTTCATAATAAAATTTAAAATATGAAATGAAAAATATATGTATTTTTTAGTTTTTTACGAGTTTCGTGTCGTGTTCGGGTTAGGCGGGTCCAACCCGAAATTGACCCGTATTTTTCGTGTCAATTTCAGGTTGACCCAATTCTGACCCGAACCTCTTTTTTCTCAACCCTAACCCGCAAAATTCGTGTCATTTTTTAGTCGTGTCGTGGCCCATATTGCCGACCCTAGTTGTATTGTACCACAAAACTCAAACTCTGCACAAGTTTTTCCTTTTTTAAAATTCAAAAGCTACCCCTTAAGTTTTAGCTAATCCAACATTTACCTGTATGTTTTTGATAATTTAAAAAGTATCCATTAAGTTTTTAGATTATTCTAAAATTATTCCTTATGTTTTTCTAAAGAGTAAAAAAATAGCCCTTTAATTGATCAACATTTTAGAAATACTAAAAATAACCTCAATAAGTACTATTTATATATCATTATAGACATTAATCATGTAAAACTTTTAAAACATAAGTTTTAAAACAAAATAAAATGAAGAAAATAAAAGAGCCAACGTTGACTGCAGAGCAATATTAAGTGTAGGGACAAGACTGATTTGATAAAATTCCAAATCTAACTGTTGTGTTTATATGACGAATGCGCGAGATTCTGTGTGGAGTTAGACCAATTTAATCCGTTAAATTTTAAATTTTTTCAAAAATATAGAATTTATTTTGTTGAAAATTTACCTTTTTTCTTTAAATTTAGTTTCTTAGTTATTAGTTTTTAAGATAATGTTTAAATATTGATCATAAAGGTTATTTATGTTATTTTCAACAATTTGACTACTTAAAGGGTTATATTTTACTTCTTTTGAAAAACTTAGGATATAAGTTTGGGATAATTTAAAAACATAAGGGATATTTTTTAGATTATGAAAAGCTCAAGGGTAAATATTAGATTTACCTAAACATGAGGAGGTACTTTTTAGATTTTTTTCTTTTTTTTCTTTTTTTTTTTCTTTTTTCTGAGACCCCAAAAAAACTTCCACCAATGGAACCTCCACATTTAACCGTTGAATTAATTTTTTTAATATTAGATCTGCATCATTAACAGTTTTATGTAGCGTGATGAAAATTTTTAATACGGACTAACATAAATATGACCGTAAAAATATTAATTTAACGGTTAAAAATGAGAGTTTTGCTTGTGAGTATTTTTTTTTTTTAGTTCCAGATTGCTTTTTATAAATGTAAACACTATTATAATCTGAGTTGGACTGTACCATTAAGACTAAACTCTGCCCAAGTTTTTCCTTTTTTTTTCCTTCCATTATTTTTTCTTTTTCTTTCTCTTTTTATAAATGTAAACGCTAATCTTCATGAGTTGTACCGAATCCAATCATCTTTCCACTTTCCACCAACCATATTTGGTGATCATCATCCACTCTCTCATCGTGGACAGTGGACAACTCTCTTTGATCAATCTAAATCCCTATACAAAGGATTGCCAAAAAAAAAAAAAAAACCCTATACCAAGAGGCTGCCTTAAATGCTTTCACACCACCACTTGGCCAATGTCTCCTTGAACTCAATAACATATCAAGAGGTTCACCAGCTACTTTGTAACCAAAAGGGTTACGTTTTGTTTTATAACGCTAATTAGAAAATATTTCATAAATAACTCTGGTTTTGATTTTTTTTTATTAATTTCAAAAATTCCCCTTAACTATGACCATTGTAACACTTTGTCCTCTGAATTTTAAAACGTAATATCCGCTCCCCCCGAACTTTGTTCCGTTAACAAGTTTTTTCCTTCTGTTACAATGAGTGACGGAATTCGCCACGTATCACGTATATGACCCATTTGATAAATGTATTATCATAAAATACCATGTCTTCGTCTTTCCTCCCTGCCATTCGCCTCTATTATGTTTCTAGCTTTTATTTA